CAATGATCTATACGGTCACAGTCAGGGCTGACTCTAGGCAAAACAAGCAGATGCTTGGGGCAGCACATTTCTGGGGGCGGCATTCTGGTACTGGCCATGCCACCCCTAGAAATGTGTCCCCTCTGCCCCAGCTCACCTTCGCTCCACCACCACCCCTTCCCCTGGGTGTGCTGCTGATCGGCTTTTCCCCCCTCCCTCTGAGGCTTGCCATGCAAGAAACAGCTGTTTGGCATGGCAAGCCTTGGAGGGAGGGAGGAGAAGCCGATCAACAGCGCACCCAGGGGAAGCGGTGGTGATGGAGCGAAGGTGAGCTGGGGCGGGGAGCGGTTCTGCTACCCCCCAGTTACTTCCTGTGCTCCGCCCCACCCTTGCTCATCTCCGCTACGCCTGCTCCCCTGAACACGCTGCCTCTCCTTCACCTGAGAGAGAGGGGGGAGAAGTGGAGCAGTGGCATGTTCAGGGGAACAGGAGGAGCGGAGGTGAGCTAGGGCGGGAGGTTGCGGGGGGGGGAGCTGCAGGAAGCAATGAGGGGGGGAAAATGTGGCATGCCTGGGGGAGGAGGCAGGGCTGGGGATTTGGGGAAGAGGCTGGGAAGGGGCGGAATTGAGCCGGGGGAAGGGGGGGCATGAAAAAAAAACAGGGGCACCCAAAATTTTTTTTGCTTGGGGTGTCAAAAATCCTAGAGCCAGCCCTGGCCACAGTTCATGTCAATAACATCACAAGGGCAACAAAATGGCAGATGAAATTCAATGTTCAAAAATGCAAAGTAATGCACATTGGAAAACAAAATCCCGACTATACATATAAAATGATGGGGGTCTAAATCAGCTGTTACCACTCAAGAGAGAGATCTTGGAGTCATTGCGGATAGTTCTCAGAAAACATCCACTCAATGTGTACTGGCAGTCAATAATGATATGATAAAGGTCTATAAAATCATGACATGTGGAGAAAGTAAATAAGGAAGTGTTATTTACTCCTTCTCATAACACAAGAATTAGGAGTCATCAAATGAAAATTAATAGGCAGCAGGTTTAAAAGAAACAAAAGGAAGTATTTCTTCACACAATGCACAGTCAACCTGTGGAACTCTTGCCAGAGGATGTTGTGAAGGCCAACACTATAACAGGGTTAAAAAAATAATTGGTAAGTTCATGGAGGATAGGTCCATCAATGACTATTAGCCAGAATGGGCAGGGATGGTGTCCCTAGCTTGTTTGCCAGAAGCAGGGAATGGGAGACAGGGGGTAGATCGCTTGATGATTGCCTGTTTTGTTCATTCCCTCTGAAGTACCTGGCATTAGCCACTGTTGGAAGACAGGATACTGGGCTAGATGGACCTTTGGTCTGACCCAGCATGGCTGTTCTTATATTTATGTCTGAGTAGATTGACTATACTTGGACATACTTAGATATCCTTCAAATACCAACATCTGAAACTCTACCAAGTAGAAAGAAAAGCATTTCAGGGAAGCACATGTGTCATGGTTATGGAGCTAGTGGTACTTGAGTCCTCTTGATTCTTTCTAATTGCACCCGCTCAGGAGTTAGGCCTCTTCTTCCCTGGGATGCATCTCTTACTCCTATGATTCTCCCACTCTTAGACCAGAACTTGGGGCGACAGAACCCTGTGTACCAGCTAAAATTTCTGTGCATGTCCAACTGGGTTTGGCACCTCTAAGTGTTTCATTCGATAGCTTGTGACCAGTGGTTAATATAGGTGACCAAACAGCTTTCCTAGAACAAAGCTGTGACAACCTGCCACCCCCATATTCATCTTTGTCATGTAATTAGGATATGTTTTGTACCAAGTATGCCTTGTGACTTTCATTCTAAAAGTCTTGATTTGCTCGACATTAATATCTTATTGGCTTGTATGTGCTATCGTCGTATGTGAAGTTATGAAGTTTGGCTATGTATGTGTTACTCAAGCAAATTGTGAGGTTAAAAACACCCACAAGCAGCCATTCAGGTACAACAGTAAAAAGGACAAACAATGTTAGTAGCTTATTGAGGAAATGCACACGAGCACAAGAATTACCTCAGGAACTGCATACAATAGAAACTTCTCAGAGATAGCACTACACAATGGGAACTGTTTGACCCAGGTCACAGCAAAAGAGCTTTCCAGCAAGTGGGAAGAAGATATGAAAGCGGGAAATGACATCATGATTGTACCTTACTCTCCCTACAACAACACCTGGGAACACCTGAGGAATAAAGATTGAACTGGGGGAAGTGATGATCTCAGGCTAAAGGGATTTCTACCCTGTGTATGAAAACCTGGAAAGAAAAGGCAGATTGTGCCTTAAGAATCTGCCAGCCTGTTTATCACTCAGGGTGAGAATGTGCTAATTCATATCCTACCTATCTAGTATGTTAAGCTCATTTTGTGTTTTTGTTTATTTACTAGATAATCTGCTTTGATCTGTTTGCTATCACTTACAATCACTTAAAATCTATCTTTTTATAGTTAATAAACTTATTTTATGCTTTAATCCAAACTGGTGTGCATTTGACTAAGATGTCTGGGGAAAATTTCAGCTTGGTTACCACAAGTGTGTATGGTTCTCTTCACATTGAGGGAGAGGCAGACAGGGTATTAAATCCATATACTGGCCAGATTTGATCATAAAAGAAAAGGTTTTTAATACAGTAACAATCTTCATTTATAGCTATCTTCCATAAGTCTTACCAGTTTAGGGTTGCTAATTCTGACTGACTATTCCGGGAGATTCCCCCCCCCCCACCTGACATAATGTCATTTTCTTAAAATAGCCTATTAAAATCTCCTGGATTGCTTTCAATAGTCACCGGGAGACTGATGCCGATACTGTACTTCATACTTAGTGCTGTGGCGCACACAGAGATTATTATAATGTGTATTTTGATGCCTCAGATGAAAACACTACTACCGTGAACATCCTTTTACAGCATGGCTCAACTCTTCACTTTTAATAAGAGACCATATATCAGTATTTTGCTGCATTAGGAGATGAACAGATCAAAGAACCAGGCAATAATAATGTTCAGAGAGACGCTGGAGGGAGAACCATAGAATAAAGCCAAGGACAGGTTTTAAAAAGTGCATCAATGTTGCATTTCATAGGCTTATGACATTAAAGGCACTACTTTTTCTGTAGTCATATATTTTACCTCCCTATCTTCTGAGCCAGAGCAAATTCACATATAAGGAACTCTGACAGAACCAAGGGAGGGATCAGATCATAGAAAATGAAGCGTAGATTGAGATTTAAGATTACTTTTATTCTGATGTGGAACGAAAACAAGACCTCTTCAATTTTTTCATGACAAAAATAAGACGGAGACAGGCACAGACCAACCCCAGAGTAGCACATAGTCCAGTGATTAGGGCACCCACCTGGGATGTGGAAGACCCAGGTCCAGGTCCCTGCTACAAATAAGCCAGAGCAGGGATTAGAATCTGGGTTTCTTACATCCAAGGGGAGTGCCCCAAACACTAGAAAATTATGTATTCTGGGCTAGGTCTCCCTCTCTCTCTAATTCCATCCTGGACCCAAATAACTTTCCTGACAAAATTTTTGTTGAAACCAATATGTTTTAGCAAAACATTTCAGTTTCCACAAAACAACATTTTCAATAGAAAAATATTTCATTACTTTTTTTTGACCATTTCTAGTTACAGGACTTGTCTCTTATTTAAAAGCCCAATTTAATTCTCTTTCTAGTGACTTTAATTAGAGCTATATTAGATTTTAGCAGAGAGATTTCTTGTCCTCAGTGATGCAACTCATGAAACATGCATTGGGCTGTATTGTGCAATGCCAGATACACAAAGTTATGCTGTATGGTTAACCTGAGCCCAGTGAATGTAGCCTTCTCCCCATTGACATTTTTTGTCCCCATTTTTGTTTGTTAATTAAACACGATTTGAATGGACAAAAAAGGAAGTCTGCTGAAAATGCTATAGTGCTACAGGCATCAAATAACTATAGATGTTTACCTTGTGTTTTCAGACTTTTCTTACCCTTTCAGCCTTTGGTAATCTTACAATATAACTACTTTAAAATCTGCCATCTGTTAAGTGGTTTCTGTAACCAATCACACCCAAGAATGCACTTGCTACTCTGTCTATTAGCTTTGGAGTAGAACAGTTTCTCTATAAACCTACATCAGAATCATTTCACACTAATTAGTCTGTTGGAAGTATAACCGAACCACAGGTCAGCCATTGTAGTTTTTCCATCAATTTTGTTGGAATAATCCTATTAAGTTTCTTAATGGTGAAGATGTGAAGGAAATAGCACCCTAAAAAAACCTCTATAAAATGAATCCTGATGCACACAGCTATAAGGACATGACTATCATCAAAAAGAAATTGTAAAAAAGATTTAGGGCTTGTCTACATGGCATGGCAACGTGCATTAGGCAAACCCTACACCTTTTGGCCAGTGATGTTTTTTCTTTTCATATAACAGGAAGAAAACACCTTGACATTCACCAGATTTTAATTTTTCTGCATCATGCACACACATATCCTGCTAGCTTTCATGAGCATAGTCACATCTCTAATACTCAAATCTGATAACACAGTTCCCATTATTTGAAAGACTGCCCCAGCAATGGTACAAATGGAAATAAGCTGGATAGAAACAAAAGGGCAGCATTCATACTTTTTAGTGCTTTTAAATGTTTAGCATGATGCAATCCTTTTGAATATGAAGCAGTTTGAAAAGTAATATACAAAACGGGAGGTAGCATTTACTCTTTCTTGTTCACTCAAAAAAATGGAATACCCTAACTTAGAGCATCTGCCTCTCAAGAATCACTCTCTCCCCCCACATGTCAGTGGATCCTCCCTCCAATAGTATAATGCTATCTTCAAAATCAAGGCATAGGTAGGTAACTGTTAGTAACTATTAGCCAGAATTTCCATGGTAACAATATTTCCTCCCAGTAATTGAACAATGGAGTGATTTGCATTTTCTTCTCACTTGCCACAGTTCCTTAACTCTTACCTTCCAGACTCAAATGTGAACCATGTTGAGTCACGCCCATATCTCCTCAAAGAACTCAGAGGCCACATGACCAGCTTGACCTTGGCATTATGGATATCCCAGAGATAGATGTTTTCATGTGTGATCTGCATTGTACATTCCCCATAGATATCTAAATTTGGTGTAGGCATAAGATATACGTTGAATCGCTCTAGGAAGGAAAAAAGCAAAATGAGAGGGAAATCTGGTGAAAATGAGAGTTAATTTGAAAAATTAACAGAATACCAACTTGCCTGGCTACAGAAATTTTAGATATCATGAGCCAGATCCTGATTTAAATGAAGTCAATGAAGCCATAACATTTACATAAGTGAAGGATCTGGCTCCAGGCATTTTACATATGGTACTACTACAAACAGAGCTCACTGAGATCTGAACAGCATTACAAATGACTTTCCAAGATATACTGAAGAACTTTAACCTTGTGAGAGATCATTTCCCTCAGTAATGTGTGTGCAAACCGTGACCTTCCAATTTTGGAGGGCATCTCTAGCTAACTTCTTAATAGATGGAGAATCACAGTGACCTAACAACTTTGAAGGATCCTTTACAATATGGGGTATCAACATTTCAAGGCATAGAACAACAGGAGTACTGGCAAAAATATCTGTGCAACTGTTACACATAAAAAAATTGTTTTTTGTATGAAGACCCCCAATTGTTTGTGCATACCTGTTAACTGCACATAAAAGTCTGGTTAGATGGACAATTTTTTTAATTTGTGTGCTCAGATGCCCATTTGCCAAGTAAGGGGCAATTCATAGACATGCATGTTTGACTACCCACCTCTTGTATAACCACAGTAAAATGTAGTTCTATACAGTATATTGTGAAGGCACTTTCGAAGTTGTTACTAGATATATTGTCATTTCATAGTACAAACCTTTTAATACATTAGGTAGAAGGTCAAAGAGAAGACAACACTTTTAAAAAGTGCCTCAACAATGTAGTAGAGTAGGCAAGCTTTGAAAAATTATTAGACTATATAAGGCATCATTTACTCACATGGATGGAAAAAGCCCATGATGCTAGTCAGGGAATTTTAAATCAAATTGTAGTTTGTTGCCACCTATATTATATATGTGCACACACACACACACAAACAGAATAACAGTCAAAATTTAAGGTGCAAATATTGGAAATGCTGGGTTATATTTTAATTCTCAAGGCACAATGGCATGATCCAGGGCAGAATGTCAGCCTCAGTTTGTAGATTTGTTTCTGAATTTCCTAGCACTTGTGGAACTAGGTCATACACTTACACTTTTGTGTTGCTGCTTTTAAGAGTGCTAAAAAGACCAAACCTATGAATAAAATAACAATTCAAGACAGGGCATCAGAAATATTCACTCTATAAATGAGCGGTTGGAAACATACACATATGTATAAGGGCCAATTAGGAAAAGTGCCTTCAAAAATTAATAAAGGAGCAAGGGTTTGGTGCAGAACATTTTTTAAAAAAAAATCCAATCTTGGGCAGACATTCATTGGGAGGGTCCTCATACAAATGTGAAAGGAATTAAAACTCATTTAAGGATGGTATGTAAAGAGAGTAACTAAATATATCAGTCAAAAGAGACCTAAGTTATGTGTGTATGCCAACAGACCGGACTGTATTTTCAATGTTTGTTAAATATACTTTTTGATAGATCAGTGGAGGAAGAAGTTGTAAATGAGCATCCAGGAAAATGCAAAAGTGTAGGGGCAGAAATGAACACAAGTTGGTTAAGGAATTAAAGTGAACAATCACATGTACAGTAAGATTTGCAACCCTGTGTGGCTATAAGTAAACTTGTCATCCCCAACGATAGTCTGTCTCAGTCCATTTAATTTTGACTCATTAATGCCTTCCCAGTTGATTCACTCAATCTTCTGGCCATTCAACCTCTTCTCTTAAATTCTATTTCTCATGAATCATACTAATGGGTGTTAGCCCTGTAAATTGTATTCTATGACTAAAGTCCCATGTGTGAAATCCACCCCCACTCCAATGTTTAGTAACAGTCCTTTAACAGATAGCCCAAATAGCTTAGCAGATGCAGTTAAAATCACTGCAAACAATTTCCCTTACTGGTCATAGAGATTTCTTCATTACAGATCTAATCCAATGCCACTGAAATAAACGAAAAGTCTTCCACTGACTTCAGTTGGCTTTGGATAAAAAGCCCTTAGACACTGACTACTGAGTGAAGAATCTAGAGAACATCATGATAGCTTACTTACTCTTTGTATTAGAATTTTACTTGGACAAACTGTTCAGTGATTAGATACTACAATGATGGGCATTATGCAAAACCCAAAGATAGAGGAGGGAAGGAAAAGTGTGAAAGTGAGATAATAGAAATGATTGACAGATGGGCTAACAAAAATGATTGTGGACACAGATTTCTAGCCAGTCTCATGACTTCTACTTCATAATAGACACTGTTATGATTTAGTTACACACTAGACTTTAGTTTTGTTCTGTTGTGTTATTACCATTCCTGGCGAGGGTTGCCACTGCTGAATTCCCAGCATACGAGACATTCTGGTACTTACAGGAATGGTATGGGCTTTTCTCGCCAATGTGACCTTGCACACACAATGTGTGAGAGGTCACATTGCACAGAGGATGCCATTTTGAAGAGTATACTGCTCCCTCCCCCCACAGTGTGACATCGCACATGGCTTGTGCAAAGTCACGCGGTCGGGTGGAGCAGCACGATCTTCAAAATGGCATCCCTCCTCCATAATACCTGATGAAACCACATTCAGTTTTGTCTCTGTAGCGGACAGGGGACAGACCACAGAAAAAGAGAACTGTCCATCTTAAAACTGGATGAATGGCCTGACTATTCCAGGCCCTTGCATCCTCCCCCTCTTTGAATTGGACCAGAATGAAAGGTCCGGATAATCTGTGTAATGGCAGATTCTCTGGCCCACCCCAGTCTTAGACTCACTGTGTCCTCACAAGGAGCCCCACTGGAATTGTGCGCATGATGAACAGGGGATGTACATTCCCTGAAACTCTGCCCCTTTCTTGTTCAGCAGACTCACCTTGCTTGCACTGTCACAATGGCACCAGCACCAGAGGAGAAAGGTTTGTCATTTTGTGCAGATTTTAATTTTCAGGGATAATTTTATGCACTATGCTATTATTTAAGGAAGGGTCTAAGGACATATGAAAAATAGAAGCCAATTGGATTAGTTTCCACTTAGAATATACAAAAACAACTTTGAATTCGCAGAGAAAAGCTTAGCATCATTTAAAAGCTACCAAAATGTTCACAGAAAGAAACCTAACTTCTTGGAATTATTTGAGGATATTATTGCATAAGGGCATTCAGGAGACATGATATACTCAAATTGTCAGGAGACATTTGTCTACTCTGCATTCAAGGTCAGTGTCTAAGGCGAGGTGTCATGGATTGAAAGGAAATGTGTCTGATTAAACTGAACATCAGCTGCAAGGCAACTAAGTGGAACCATAGGAACTTATTCAGGCTGGCAACAACAGAAGTTATTCATACGTGCACTGGAGGAGCAAATGTTGTTTGTTTTTACAGATTTTCAGTTTTGTTTTTTAACTAAGAGTACAATTTTGTAACTAAAATTTATGAAAGTGTGCGGACAACAGGAAACTGGGGGGGGGGGGGGGGGGGAATGAATTCTGAGGAAAAATGCAAGGGATTACAAATTAGGGTCAAATCTGCTGGGGAAGGTTTGCACAGTCTCCCTGTGAAGTCAAGGGGAAAAACTGGGTTTCAGAGGCAAATCCTTGGCCCCAATCGCATAGCTAGGTTTAGAAAATTGAGGCTCAATCCCCAGTTCTGCCTCAGATTCCCTGAATGACTCTGGGCAAGTTATTTACTTGGTGTTTCAGTTTCTGTTTTTCTGTAAATTTTGGGAAGATAATACTTGCTTACATTGTGAGGATAAACTCGTTAATGTTTATGAGGTTCTCTGACCAGTTTGAGGGTGCATCCCTGGAGTGGCATGGTGCTCAGCTTCACAACTGCCCTGTGGACATTAGGGTCAGCTGTGGGCAGAGCATGGTCTGGTGGAGCTAGGGCCTGAGAATTTGCTGCTGTTTGCATCTATCATTCCACCACATAGGGCATGCAGCCAGGCATTCCCTACTCCATCTCTCCATGGAGCAGAACAGCACAGAGCAAGGTACTTGGATTATGTGATACAGTCCAGGATGCAGGCCTTCGAGAAGTGTCAAAGAGTCTAGTATGTCATTGATTCTGGGTATAGGCTATGCATCTGAAATAATGACAGCATTATGTTTCCTATAATCAATGCAAAACCATATGGTTCCATCCCTTTGGGGAACCATAACAACTGGAGAAGCCAGGGGACTATTTGACTTTGTAATTATTGCCACATCTAGCTTGCTAGCTATCTCCTTAGGGAATTATTCCTCCATTCTACCAGATGTTCAGTATGATCTGCTGGGTGCAGGCTGTGGTCCTGCAGTGTTAATCTGATGGACCATTTTGTGAGTCAGCCCAGCCCTGTTGGAAAATACCTGCTGGTGCCTTTACACCACAGCCATAATTTTTGTTTATTTTGGTTAGGGTTAACCCTTCATATCAATTAATGCTCTCTAGTGGTGTATCACTATGGCATTCAGCCATTAAATCATTAAGAGTCGTACAATCCTCCTCTGCACAGCATATCATGTTTACAGTGGCTTCACGATTGTGATAAGCTTTTAACTCATGCACAGTCCGTGGTGCAAGCCTGCTACAGGGTCTTTGTACATTGTAGGTAACATCGCTAACCCTTTCTACCATCACAAAAGCCCCACACCATGAGTTCTACATTTTGTATCTTTTTACAGGGAGTAATACTGGTACCAAATCCCTCACATGAAATGACTGATTATAGGTATTGCAATTATATCATTCTTTCTGCCTGGCTTTTAGTGAGGTTTTGCTACATTATTTCCATCATGGATTTTTAACTCCCCCCCCCCCCGAACTTCTGCACATATGCAGTAACCAGTTCCCCACCCTCCTTCAGTGTCACACTCCTAGGGTCTCTAATCAGATCCAGGAGACCTCTGACCTTTCTCCTTCTTCAGGAGATCAAACAGGGCAAACCCCATGGACTCTTGTGGCACCGCACAGTAAGCAAACAATAGACTGGGTAACATTACATCCC